CGAATATGCCTCGAAGAGAACGTCATTCCATGTCTTAAATAAAAGATGTAAATTTTTTAAATAAAATTTCATTATCATGACACTGTGAACGTAACCACTGTTTGTATCAATATGTTCCTATCTTACGAAGTATTAATTTGTATTAAAAAAGGCAAATGAGACACTGCAAACCAATGATGCATTAAAGCATGCTTTTACAGTTATCTTTTTTTATATTTTCCATTTTATATTATACATTCTATCGTTATATATGAAGTGTATACTTTTATAATTTAGTATTAGGAGTTCAGTTAGAAAACGTTTTTCATAATTTACGGGCATCTCTCATCGTATGGTAATCTTTAAGTGTTTCTAAAAATATATACCAACGATCATTATTGACTACTGCAATTTTTAAACGCAAGACCTTGTTATTACATCATGCAGCAATTTTATCATTATCGTGATTAAGTGGATGACATTTCTTCGAGGTATCTTTACATGATATGCAGAAACTATTCAAAAGTCAGGTGCTCCATTGGCGTAAAATAATAGCGTGCAGTGTCAACTTGTGCCATTGACCGGTTCAAATGGCCAAGTACTATGTTTTTGCAGAGAACAGCACGGATATACTTGAAGAAAATAGGACCATAAATCATGTATGATAACACGCGTCGAATGGCAGCTATGCTGAAATAATGTCGCATATTTGGGGTATAATTTATCCCCTTCTTTTTTTAGTAAACAGAAAAAAAATAATGATTTAAAGCATGCAGAACGATAACATACGCAATCTTTTTCTTTTTTGCATTATTTAAAGTAACATATTTTTTATTCATGATTCAGAGCGCTTTAGATTCGAATTAAGAAACACGCTAATTTTGTTCAACGTCAGGCTATTTGCATTTATCTACAAACATTTTTTTAGCCTGTATTGTAACATAAAATGTATGTTTCTCGTGACGGGCACAAAATCTTAATTTAAAGGAGAATTTTTTTTTTTCTTTTTATATAACAAAGAAAAAAACGTATCGTTCATGCACATCCGATTCTCAGCTACTGATTAATGATACAGATTCATTTGAATTGTTGAAATGTCACCGATATAAATTAATTTTAAATGTAGTTGATGTTATTCCCTGTCTTGAATTGTTACTTGTGAATACATAACACATAATCAATGCAACATATTGACAGCGAGTGTTCATTAACGAAATGCGTGAAGAACTTTTTGTAATTTTCATTGTTAATATTCGGTTACTTTATGATCTGGACGATACCGCCTAATGTAAAATGCTTGAAACTATGGCAAAAACCAAAACAATTGTGCGTGTTGTATAATTATTCTAACCATAAAGAATTATTTAAATATTTCTGAGGGCTGATCAATTCCATTTCGGTTCCGCCAGTTGAATTTACCAGTTCGTACTCAGCCGAAGAAATATTTATCTATATTCGGTAGTGATTGCTCGAGGCAATACTCAATTATCGGCGCGGGCACGTCAATAGTGTTAATAAGAAAAGAAAAACATTGCATGAAACAGAATCGAGGGAAAAAAAGAGATAAATGAAGAGTAATAACAGTTGAGAGAGGGAAACAGTGTCCGACGATCTCAGTGTTAGCCTTGTATCACTGTACAATTTGTTATTCAGTGTAAGATGGTTTTTCTGTGCTGTACATACATATATTAATAACTATTATTAACGATTAACAATTACAATGAAACTATTCGATTACCTATTATTGTATCACTATTATTATTATTATTATTATTATTAATTATTATTAATTATTATTATTATTAATTATTATTATTATTAAAAATATCATCTATACAAAGAAAGCAGAAATTATTAGATTATTTCACGTCGAATCGATCGTTATGCACATTCAGTATTAGAAATTTATGGACAAACTCTTCGTGTAAAAAGTTCTGTTTTGTAAAGAAAATTTCCTGATTTCAACATAATTTGTCCGAATATATATGATTAATATAAAACAACGAATACGTACCAAATTAATTAATTCATTCATATACATATAATTAATTATGATTAATTACATTTGCATACTTACGTATTCATGTATAAATGAATATTCAAGTTTTTCCCTATATTTACGGGGAACGCATCGCATTTAATGCCATCAAATTTCCCCAACCCCAGACGGCATGAAACGTTTGATTCGATGTGAAATAATCTTGCCGCGAGTGATTGTACATGTAAAAAATAAAGGGGAAAAAAAGAATATGTTGCGTGTATGGTAAAGGCTGTGCTGCCCAGCTGAAAACAAAAGATTAAAAAAGTAATAAAAAGAACAAATAGAGAGAGGATTTTGTTGCCAACGTTTAGTGTGTTGCCAAAGTTTTTTCCCCTTTGCGGGTATAAAACGCAGTATAAAGTAATATTCGAGTTCTTTCTTTTTTGTTATTGTTTGATTTTCTTTTCTTTTCAGTTTGTTCAACAAAATCAGCTCGTTGACGACTCGAATTTTTTCTTCGTACAGTAATCGATAACTTAAAGCTATTCATGTATTCTTTTGTTTGTCTCTTTTTCTTTTTCTTGACAAGAATTTCTTTAGGATCCTAGGACAGTGTATTAACTGTATTCAAAATCGGGCTCGAAATTCGTTGGCCTGAACGGGGCACGGCCACGGCCACGGCACCCTCTTATTTTTTCCTAGTCTCCTAACGTTTCTGAAAAAGGCTGGGAGGTCCCGATCACACATACATGTATTCGTTCGCTTAACGTTCAATGTTTAGAACTTAGACGAGAAGGAAAAGCATTGTGATAATACGTATGTAGCACCTATTGTTTTCAATAAATTGAAAGCCGGAATAACGCCTTCGAATATTACTTGCATACTGTACTAGCCGGTGATGCGTATTCGGACGATAAATCGCTGTGCGTATGTAT